TTCAGTTTGACCCCAGTGGGAGAGACAGTGGAACTGCCAGGTGGTGCTACCACTGTCCATGATACTGCTGTGTGCAGGTTGCTGGAGCTGGCGGGGAGCTGGAGGGCAGAGCTGCTGACCCCCAGCCTCAGGCCACAGGAGTCAGGTGGGAAGCCAGAGGGTGGAGCCTCAGGGGTCGCAGGAGCCAGGTGGGGAGCTGGTGGACGGAGTCACTGGCTTTGGGCAGCATGGGTCACAGGAGCCAGGTAAGAGTCTCCAGTACAGGCCCCAGGTTGCAAAAGCTGGCAGGAGTCACCAGCTGTGGCTGCAGGTGGCAGGGGAGTCGCCAGCTGCTGACTGCAGGTCTCAGAAGCCAGGCAGGAGTCACAGGCCGTGCACCACATGGGCTGTAGGAGCTGGACAAGAGTCACTGGGCATGGGCCAGTGGGCTGCAGGGGTCAGGCAGGAGTCACTGGCCTCAGGCAGTGGGGCTCAGGATCTGGGCAGGAGTTGCTGGCCCTGGGCTATAGGAGTTACAGGAGCCCAAGGGCAGAGTCATCAGCCATAGGCCACACAGGTCCCAGGAGCCGGGCAGGCGTCACCACCATGGCCACTGGTTGCAGGAGTCGACGAGGAGCCAAGCCACCCACTATAGGCTGCCAACCCGGGGACCCAGTGGGCTGTAGTCCCTGGTCCCAACACAGGGCAAGTCTCTCTCCGTTTGTGACTCCTGGCCTCTATTAAAGTTATAGTTTCAGAAAGTTATAATTTCAGAGCAACTGCCCCACAGCTCATGAGGTGACCCACCCTAGCAAAAATCTGCCAACCACTCTGGATTTTGCAGGGGGTAGTCTTTCAGACCGCCAGGAGACAGGGGAGGGGTGGATTGGGAGTTCAGGAAGGTAGGGAGAATACCAGATTAACTTTGGCCCAGGCAAGAGACTGCCTGGGCTTGGAGGGATATCTCTCCATGGAGGGAGTCTCAGCCCTCAGTGTTCTCTCCCCTTTGGTGAAATAAAAGATCCTCTGTTCTCTACTCGCCTCAAGTCACTCTCCTGGGGCGGGGGGGTGGGGAGTGGGGGAAGGATTCCCATCCTCTTTGGATGGGTTTTGTACCTGTAATTTGTTTCCTTGGAGTCCCCAGATGTGAACCTATCCATCCTCTCAGCTCAGCTCCCGATCTTCTGCTTTATTGGGTTATTTCTGGCCATTATTTCCCCCTCTGGATAGGAGCCTCTGCTGAAAGATGGCTTCATTCTGCCATCTTGCCTCTCAAATTGTACTTTTAAAGAGCTATCCATTTCATCATATGTAAATTATACCTCAAATGGGAATGGAGGGCTGGAAATAGTACCTGGATACAAAGATGTTTGTATCCTAGCACTTTGGAAGGCTGAAGTAGGAAGATCATTTGCGGCCAGGAGTTCTAGACTAATCTGAGCAACATAGTCATCCTGTCTCTACAAAAAACAGAAAAATTTGCTGAGTGTGGTACAGCATGCCTGTAGTCCCAGCTACTCAGCCGGCTGAGGCAGGAGGATTGCTTGAGCCCAGGAGTTTGAGGTTATAGTGAGTTGTGATGATAGGATGATACCAGGCATCAGAGAGACCTTGTCTCAACAACAACAACCACCACCAAACACGGGGCGAGGCTCTCTCCTCTTGTGACTCCTGGCCTCTATTAAAGAGCACAACAAAAATAGTAATAGGGAAGACAGGCTGGGTTAATGAGAAAGAAGGACAAAAAAAGAGAAATGATGTATTGTATTTGGGAGGGGGCTAAAGGTAGTTTTCTAACTTTGGGACTTGGTAGACGGGGTGATCATTTCCCAAGATGGAGCAGTTTTGGGGGAAAATAGCAAGGACTGTTTTTTTGAGTATTGAATCACCTGTGGGATATCCTAGTGAAGATGTCTAAAAGGCACATTTGGAATTATGGATTTGGTGTCCAGGAGACAAAGATATGATTTGAATGTCATCATCATAACAGTAATTGCTGCCAGGAGAAACCCTGAGATTACCCGAGAAGAAAAGTAGACTTAAGAAGGAAAGAGATCTGAGGATGTCACCCTGAGCAAATGTACCATTGAATAGCTGAGTAGAAGAGACAGAATGAAAGGAAAGACGAAGAGAATGTGAAGAGAGCAGTGTCTGGATCCCAGGGGAGAAAAAATTTCAATAAGTAAGAGGTGGTCCAGAGTTTCAGATGCGTGGGCTTGGCAGTAAGATGGTCCTTGGTAATCATATTGAGAACAGTGAGTCATTAAGAGAGTAGGAACAGAAGCAAATTCTTCTTATGTGAATTAGGTATTAAAGTTTAGACAGCTACGTGTAGATTGCTTTTTCAAGAAGCTTATTAAAGAAATTGGGAGATAAGGACAATGTAGGAAGTAGAGTAAAGCTTTTTTTTTTTTTCCTTTTTTTACCTCTGGCTAGTCCAAATTTTCAAGTTTATTTTGAGTTAGCTGGGGGCTGAAGGAAAAATTGCTTACCAAAAAGACTGTCTTGAGGAAATATTCCATAAAATGGTATCTATAGTCATACTGTCCTGTCATGATGAGGAGAAGAACATAGAGGAACAAAGAAGAGCTATCAGAACCAGAAAAGCCAGCAAGGTATTCAAATAGTGGATCTCACAGATGTTTGGTTATCATGATTTTTTTAAATTTGAGATTAACATATGGGTACAAATGATTAGTTTACATTATTTGCATTTGTTAGGTAAATGTCTTAAGTTATATAGTTCAGGGTTTTTGTTTTTTTTAGACAGTCTTTCCCTGTTGCCCTAGCTGAATGCAGTAGCCTAATCACAGTGCACTGACCTCAAACTCCTCTGAGTTCAAAGGGATTCTCCTGTCTCAACCTCATGAGGCAGTGAGTCTACAGGTGTGTTCTATGCCTGGCTAATTTTTCTATTTTTGTTTTATAGAGATAGAGTCTTGCTCTTGTTCGGGCTGGTCTTGAACTCGCCTCAGGTGATTTGCCTGCCTTGGCCCTCCAGAGTGCTAGGCTTACACTCAGGAGCTGCTACCCACAGCCTCACTGATTCTTAATTTGATTTTACTTTATCCTCATTTGTGGGTGATCCTCCAAACCTAAACAATATGTGCATCAATCATTATTTTAACCTTGTTTCTCTTACTGTTATTAATATTAACATTATATAAAACAGTTGAATCCTGTGTCTCAGCTTTTAAAAACTGAAGAGAATATTATTTTTTTCTTGAGTCACACATTGTATTCTCTCTTGCTTGTATAATGTTAACTTGGACTTGTAGTCTTTGCAATTATATCTTTTCTTTTAAATGCTTACTTAGTTCTGTATCACAAAAGGTTTTCCTCAGGTTAAAAGGAAAATATTCAGTGGGATTACTAAAAATTAGGTCAGATATTCAGAAGAATATACTAGCTATAAAATCTATGAATTTGTTACCAAAAGAAGATAGGTGAAAGAATCCCTTTTCTTTATATTTTACAGTATAGATAATTTGTAAATTTTGAATAGTTACATGAAGCTGAATACATCTCAAACTCTTATGAGGTTTGTGATTATTTTTGGAAATAAAATAGAATCCTAAATAATTGCTATGGGAGTTGACTCATTCATGGAAATTTCCCTAGAGGGTTTAGAACATGCGTGTGTGCCTGCATCATTACCTGCCTAAGTAGGTTATAGGCTTACTGAGCATCTACATATGACAAGCAGTGATTTAAAAAGAGAGGCTAAAGAAAACCAAAGGATGCTAAAGAAATGTCAGCGAGAGATGATTTCCCCAGCTTCCACAGTGTAGAGTTGTGAGGACAACCAGGTCTAAAGTCAGACTGTGTCCTGGGAATTTTTGGAGCTACCTTTTTAGAACTATCTTCTGTTTATTTTAGAGGATTGAGAAATGAAATTCTTAAAACAAGGAAATTTTTATGAGAATTATTTTTCTGGAAATACCTAGTTGTATTCTGTGAGCGTAAGCTCTGGCCTTTGACCGCTAGTCAAATAGTAAGAAAGGTAGTTTTTTTCTGTGGGAGGAAAGATTTAAGCACTTTATTTTAGGGACACAGGATGGGATGTTTGGGAATGAATGGGACTTCTGAAAGTCATATGTATTTAATACATATATATTCCAAGAACTGTGCACTATTGTGGTTTCTGTAGAGAGGGTCTCACTAATAATAATATGAAGGGTTCCAAAGTTAACTCTCATCTCCAAATTTGTTAAATAAAACCAGGCAGCTCGGGAGGAAGTCCTGTTTATGGGTCTTTCTTTGCTTCTTGTAACAGTTGGGGAGGTAAAAGAAGAGAATCAGTAAAGAATCCAGAAGCCGTGGAAATTTGATCTTTGGCTCCCTGCTGCCTTAAATAATATTAGTGGTACAATAATTTGTGTGGTCATACTTCTGCTCTGGCTTTCTCTTCTGTCTGTATTGAGCTAGTGTGTTTCATTTTGTCTTTAAAGGGAAATTGAAACCATAGGACAGGGAACAGAATTAAGGGAAAAAAGAGAAACATATTTTACATATATTTTACATTTAGATGCCCTCTTGACCTAAGTTGTGAAAGCAAGTTCATGGGCTAAGAAAATGTGATAGTAGGATCCTAGAGAGTTGGAGAGTTGCCTTCGGTAGATTTTTCTGTTTTCAGGGCATAGCAGGGAGCTGGTGGGTCAGGACGATGCACAGTAAACCCAAGGCAGTGTTGATATTAGATATGTTTATTTTACCTCTTTTCTCAACTTTTTTTTTTTTTTTTTGCCTATAAATGTAGCAGAATTGTGCTTGTTAACTCTTCTAGAGTCAAGTCTCTCTGTTTCTTAGGAACATCAACAGAGTGGATGGTAAAAACAGTAGAATTTTATAGCGTTGTTTTCTTATTATCTCTAGAACTTAATTAATTTCTCTTGAACTTGAAAGATTCTCTGTTTCTACCAGTGAGTCCCTAGCCTCTGATGGGAGTTGAGTGGATTGAAACTTGGTGTGGTTGTGACATGGAAGATGATCTTGTGTCCTGTGTTACATTGTATTTCTAGAACTCTATGGCTTTGATGTGCTCATAGATTCTACTCTGAAGCCATGGTTGTTGGAAGTGAATCTCTCTCCTTCTTTGGCCTGGTAAGTCAGTTCCTTCAGCTAGAAAAACTTTCAAGTAGCACTAAAACACTTTCTTTTCTCTCTTTTTTATTTTTATTTTATTTTTCGTCATTTCTCTTGGCACCAGAAGACTCTTTTCCTAGTTATTAAAGATGAATAGAATTTTTTAATTTAAATGG